AAAATGATAGGCCATATTTTTATGCTGTAATTGTGCAAAAAGTAACCAAGAAGGAAGACATACTTCTTGCATTTTGACATATGGAAATAAAGGAATTTTTGGATTATACCTTTGTGATTACTGTACACCTTTGTACAAATACACCTTTGTATTTACCTATGTTGATAATATAAGTCTTTTGTTAACATATTAGTGACTTGAAGAAGAGTTTAATGTGTTGAAGGTTGGTATTCCTGGCATAGTTGTCTAAAAGATGGAAAACTTGGGAAGTATTAATATATTATGAGCTAACATGAAATACAGCTTTTAATTTACAATAGTATACTGCTTCAGCATTTTATTCCTATTTGTAATTTTTGCTTAAAAAATTGGTAAAACATAATAGAAGAAAATTTGTTACTGTCCCCCTCAACTGGCAAATAAACTAATCTAAGTATTAATGGTTTGCTTATATCCATCGCAGGCTCAGTCCTCCTGTCCTTCCACTGTGTTCCTTAAGGGAAATACAATTGTCTACTGATAAATTTTTCAGAATGGAACCATCTGAAATGACCAATGGTTGTTTTCTTTCTGTTCTAACAAGAGAGGTAAGGAAAAAAAAATCCCAATCCAACAAGAGAGGTAAGGAAAAAAAAATCCCAATCCAACAAGAGAGGTAAGGAAAAAAAATCCCAATCCCTGCCATGCTTTGGAATTAAGAAACAAGCAAAACCACATAAAAGGAACCTAGGAACTTTGTGAATATTTTGTGACTGTGTGCTTAGCTCATAAGTAGCTGAAGGGCAGGAAAAAAGAATTATTATTCTGTGGCAAAAAGAAAAAGCCCACTTTTAATATTTTTCCTGAGTGTCCCTCCCTTGTTGCTCCCCACCCCCGCCTCTCCAAGCACTTTGTCAACATCTCCTTCATTTTGGCTCACATGTAAGAAATCCACTTTGCAGGTTTTTTCCTACAGGCTCACAACTGGGGAAATTTAAGTATAAAAAAAGTAATTTGCTGAGGCTTATGGGATATATTAGGGAATACGGCTTAAAAATAATTTATTGTAATAGAGATACTTTTTCATTTTTATTGAAGACACTGATAAATATTTGTAATATACAGTGTTGGTTAACTCCCACATTTAATAATAGGTAGCTTCTCTAATTGCAGCGGGACCCATCTGAAGCCGTGTGTGTGAAAGATGTTCTGGCCCGTGCTGCAGCAAAGGGTCTGCTGGATGGGATTGAGCTGGGGAAATCTTCAAAACGGGAGAAGAAGAAGAAAAAATCAAAACTATCATTGACAAAATCTTCCCCTCCTGATAGTAATGGCATCCCAATGAAAATTGCTGAGTTCCTGAATCGAGAAGCCAATGCAAATGCTAATCAGTCAGAGGCATTAACAATGGAAACATCTCTCGCGCAGAAAAATACAACTCAAGTAGGTTCTTCCTCACAGGTCAGAAAACCCAGCAAGCCCACCACCACTCCTTTGGCACCTACAGTTAAGAAGGCCACATCTTTCTCTAGGCCCTATGAACGGCCAAGAAACTTCCTAAGGCCTCGCCTTGAAGACAGAATGATTGCACTGAAACCCGTACAGATTGTGCTGCCTCCAGTCATGCTGCCATTTTCAAGTCCCCAAGGGATCAGACCTCAGATACCACCCCAACAGTTTTACTGCCGTTGGGTTGGAGCCAAGACCACTGCGCCCAGCTACCTCCCCACACCAACAATATCCAGAAGAGGGGAAAAGCCTAAAGAAAACTTACCTTTCTCCCTACCCAGGCACCCTCGACCATGAGTGTTTTTTTATAGAGGTCACAGCAGTTTTTTTCAAAGTCTGTTATTTCTCTTAAGGTTAGATAACCCTACACAAGATACTCATCCCCTTTTAGTCACTTTGTATCTTCTAAATGTGATGTTACCTTCAAGAGAATTAAGGCAAGTGAGAAACAATAATGTTGGTGACCAAGCAAAGCAGAATTTCAATACTTCCGTAGCTCAGTGCTGCTCTGCTCTAGAATGTCCCGTGTAGCCCAGAGCTTGTCTCACTCTTCTTAACTTTCAGTCTGCACTCAGAAGACCTGTTTTAAAAGAAAGATGCAAGTTTTTCCTGAAGAGGAACACTATCTACCTTGTAACAGACTTGTTTTCAAACTTAATTTGTGAGGCAGTTTATTAGAAAGCAGATATGGAAAAGATGCTGGCCCTCTCATTCCCCCTTTAGATAGCTCTTCAGTACCTAGTCATTTGTAGTTTAGCATTTCAATCACTATCAAGGTTGACTTTTTTCCTTTAAATATCAAAATATGCTTGAAGTAGGGGATGATAGGAGTTTTTGTAATGTGATTGAAGTTGCGTATGAGTAGGAAAAACAGGAAGCTCCAAAGTCCCAGGTGTGGGCAGCTCAGATGTCCCTTTACTGAGTGTGAAGTGTTTCTCACCGGAAGAGCTGCCAGGATCCTGAGCAGATGGAAGATAATTAGCTCTTCCTTCTGGCCATTTATGCCAAATACTGACTGTAGGCAAATTTCCATCTAAATAGTAATAATTCTGAGGAAGAGGCAAAACTGTTGAATACAAGCGACACCTATTTCTGAAGAAACCCATACACATTTCTGACTCCATTGAAAGATCAGGTGAAGTAGTACAATCTACAAGTCATTCCAAATGGCACACAGTAATCAAACTTGGGAAATCATTTCTGATGTAAAATCAAAATATATTGTAGCACTATGTTAATTATATTAAAAGTCAATTCATTTTGAATGTATTATGACTTGCATACCAAGAATTGGTATGAATATCATTTCTGGGTCTATTGACTTTTTCATCATGGCAACAGAACTTGTTTGACATTAAATCAAATGGTTACAACTACAAATCCTTTGGTTTAAAATGTTCATACATTCATAGAGTTTGAATTTAAAGTTTTATTTTCAGAATCCAGTTTTATTGAACAGTATTATGTAAATGCCTAAATGTTTAATTCAGGTGGCATGACTTAAGCAGGATATTATCTTCTTTAAGATGACTTATTTAGGTCCATTTCAGCTCTTGGATTCTCTTATTTTCTCACTTGAACCGAGGACTAAAAAAATAGTAAATTTATTTTAGTGGTAATTTTTATTTTAGCTGAAGCTTTACATTTATCAGTAAAATGTGCCAGTGAAGAAAGGAAACAAGACTTTTTATACTTGAACCAGGCTTATTATATTTTAAATTCCTAAAGAATTATCATGTTAATTATTAAAAAGTTAATTCTTAAAAAGTACAGGAATGTTATAAATGCTCAGCTTATTTTATTAATTAAAAAAATCAAAAACCATTCTCTCTCTGCTCTAAAAATTATAGTGTTTCCTCCTGCTCTCACTCTGTAAGTTGGCTCGGAGTATTCCACGTCTCTACGAGGCCAGTGCAGCTGAATTGAACTTTTGTTCAGTGAAGAGCTGGTATTTTGTCCTGGGAATCTTTTATCCCTTCCCTGCTTTCTACCTGTTCCAAACTGAAAAGTATTTCATTGTCCAAAAATAGCAGGTCTGAGATTTTTATTTTAAAAAGACAACTCATTGTCATAAAAGAATACAGGATATTTTTCTGATTTCTAAAGCAATGTGTGATTGATATCATGTCAAAACTTTAGCCACTTATTTTCAGTATCTCATTTATATGCATCTTGGCACTAAATTATTTTTCTCTTTGGAAATTTACGGAGATTCTGAATTAAATGACTCATTAAGCCTGCAGTTTTCTTTGAGAATCTTCTAAGGACATGATTAATACTATTTAAATATTTTGGTAGAGTATGAAGTGAAAATACTTGGGCCAAAAACAATATGTGAGCATTCTAGTGAAGACTATTGATTACATGGACATTTTTTTCTAGAGCCTCTAAGAGAAAAAATGCTGCAGAAGTCCAAAGTAATGAATTTACTGGTGTTACAGATCCTCCAGTAGCAAATACAGATTATCTGAATTTACCACTATATAATACCTGAAACCAAACTGAAATGTCCCTTGAGAGTAACTGCCTTTGAGAGTAGAGATAAAGGACTAGGAGAAATGCACAAACAGAAAATAGGTACATACCTTAAATTCTATATATCTTCTTCTATACGTCTAACAGGTAAATTAACCCAGATTTAACTGGCTTGTTTCTCTAGTCATGTTTGATTTAGGATTTAGTGCCTGCACTTCTATTCTTCATTCTTTGATGGAAAAATACTTAAAGGAAAGATCCTAATAGACTGCTTACACAGCCTTGAGTTGGTGACTAACTAGGCTACTGTGTTCACAATGCCAGCCTTCCTTCCTGATAAATTTATGACAGTGGGATTATTTAAAATCTGAAGTTATTTCTAGTTTTTACCAGGTGGAAATGTGCAATAATTAATCAAAGCAGTATCTTATACTGTTAAAATGATTTTTAATTTGAGGTAAGAATAATCTGAAAATAAAATGACTGGTGTGAAGATACTAAACTGTTATTTCTATTCCTGGATATATATGACTGAGATGTCAGATAAATGAGCCAAACATCTTACGCTGCTAAATTTATTCTTACAAATTACATTTAAATGTGTCAAAGCGGTCAACAGTAGAAGGGGCAAAAAGCAAAACCAAATGTTCTTTTGGGATAAATGAGCTGCTTTGGATGGCAGGGAGTGCCCTCACTGATTAAGTGTAATTTCTTTTCTCTGAAGCTGCAATTAATTAAACTTCATATGACTGGCTGTGTAACACAAATGTTAGCTGTATTAGGTTAAGTAAGCCTGGCAAACTAGAGAGCTCATGGTTTTACTAGTTAAATTATGCTAACATCAGTCTGGGAAATGTTTTTCATGTAGCTCATGAAATCTTGCATTTGTGTTGCAGTACTTATGAAATAAATGTGTCATACAAGAAAAGGAGGAAAGATTAAGGGTTTCTAGCAAATGAGCTTGTATGGAATTGGCTTATAAATGTTCATCATAAAATCATAAGGTGGGTTTTTAAAAAAAGTAGCACTGCCAACAGTTTATCACCAAGAACTTATTTTAATGGGAATGGTCTAATGTCCCTTCATGCATTAAGACAGACACAAATGAAAACCAATGGTCCTACTAGCTATGGTTGATCTTATATCCAGGTGGAAACAAAGCGCATGTGGACATGTGTATCTTTTAGATGAGATTACACGTGTTGTGAAGGATATAAAAATGTGAAGCACCAAGCAGTGCTTTAAGTTTGCAAAGGAAAGTTTTTAGCCTCAGGCATGTTGGTTGTTCCCCTTGATGCTGCCAAGGTGCACATATATTGAGGTGGCAGGTCTGCATCTAGCTGCTTTTAAAAAATAAAAGGAACTTTAAGCATTTTGCTTTTTTTCTACATATTCCAATAAAAATGTAACTACAAATCATTACAAAAACACCTTTTAGGCAATGGATAGTTCACTGAGATTACTTAGACCTGGATACATTATGAGATAATATCCAGTAAAGATAATAATACATTAACACAATAATGCAGTATATTTCAGTAAAAATAGAATAAATAAAATAAAAATATTTGAAGCTGTATTTAACAGGTTAATAAAAAATGATAAGACATACAAGGCATAGTGAACATGGCTGCCTGATTACCGAATCACAGATATAAAGAATGCATAGATAACAAGTATCACTACAATATCAGGTAAAACATTGGCATCCTTCCACAGAAAAACACACACATACTTTCATACATACTTTTTGGCCATGGCAGAAAGTGTCTGAACATACTGTTTAACATAATTAATTTTACAAAATTAATTGCATTTAGTATGCAGAGCTATCTTCAAAACAAAGTATCTGCAGTAAAATTTTTAATATGTAAAGGCTATCATTCATCTTAATGCATCCTATAATTGCATATATAAATCAGTTTGCTATTAAAGCTAGCTCAGTATTCTTGCTCCTGAAAACAGAGAAATGTATGCCTTAAAAATTGAACAGGGGGTTCTGGTAGAGATTTCTAATATAAAAGTGGATTACTGGTCCAGAATTTTGAAGTTTATTACACTAAAATGTTTCACTGTGGAGATCAAGATAAAATATGATGATTGAGGTTTGAAGCACTTTTCAAAGGGCATAGTAAGGATTTTCTTAGTGCTGTAATTTCTAATGATTGCCTTGGTTACTTCAGAGAGAACAGTACATAGGCTGGTAAGAAGTGTAATACATTTCTAGAATGGCATCTTTTTGTCATCACGCTACAGTGCTAGCAAATCCAGAATTCTGTGAGGGAACAGAGGCAAAAGGCCACTTACCCATTCCATCATGCTTTCTGGTGGCCAAGTACCATGAGTTAGAATATCTCTACCACAAGGAACATCATCTCTGGGAAACCTTGTAAGCTGAACAGGCTCTACTGCATGTAGCATCCTGTCCTCTACAACACATTTGAGGCACACTGCAGGAAAACAGTACTAGACTGAGACGGTGACGGCTTTATAATTAATACCCACTGTGTGAGTCATTTGGACTATTTCCCTACTAATACAGGGAATTCTAGGATTTCCTGACAATAACTGGATATGCCCAGAGTAATTCTGTAAAGAACCTTCCTAACTGATGTGGCAGTTAAAAGCAGTATCATGTATAATTTATAAGCATAACTTATAACAGAGCTGGGAAGCATGGATCCTAGTTCTGGTTCTCTCTAGGTGACTGAACCTCGTGGTACTTCATGGTTTTATTTCTCTAAAGTGTTTAGTACCTTCTTTATTTTATAAGGCTCAAATGTGGTAAGAATGTAGAAACCATTTTGACAAGTATATAGCAGTGGATAAGTGAAGTGTTGCTTTTGTAACTGGGTGTTGTGAAATGTTAATTTGACATTAAAAAGTAAACAAGACTAATATTTAGATTGATCCCCTTAGCAACTTCCTTTAAAAATGTCAACAAGTCTAAATCTGTGTGTCTTTATAGCTAAGACTCTTTTCTATAGAGAAGCAGAAAAGTGTATTTTGGGGAAACTTGTTAAATAAATGTCTATTGCTCTTACGTATATTTTGCTCTGATAGGAAATTTTTAAATCTTGAAAATAAAATGGAAAAAATATAAATTTAAAAATATATCTTGTAGAGTCCAACAATTTCTAATAGTAAATACATGAATTCAGAAAGGTTCAATTTAATGTAATTTGTTGCCATGGACAATATATGTGGACAGACAGCTTTCTGGGCAAAAAGTATTGGGGTAAGATTGAGCTAGAGCAGAATCCTGGCAGAACATTTACTTAGAGGTGGACTAACAAACTAACGTGGTGGTGGAGATCTAAAGTATAAATGACATTTCCTCAATTCCAAATTGCATATTGGCTAATTATCAAACTAAGGATAAAAGGCAAGAGAGGAATATTTCATTTTAATGTCATTTACATAAAGAATGGCCATTGTGAACTGTAATTTTCTAGCTGCATTGTAAGGTATAAGGCAGAAGTTTGAAATATGTCCCACCCAAAATGCATTACGGTTTTGTTAATCTTTTTAAATAATCAGTTTGAAAACCATCTGGAAAGAAAGGCCATTTTTTGTTTGATTTTAATTTCTCAAATTTAGTTTGTTTTTCAATTCTGAAGTTGCGTTTTTTTCCCAATGTCCCACAAACAGCTCTAGACATGAAATGGTGTCCATGTGTCAGAGAGCTTGTCAAGGAAAGCTGCCAGTGGGTTTCTGTACTGATGCCAACAGCCAATTTTTGTCAACCAAAAGGTTCCATGTTATGAAAAGCAAAAACAATTGGTCATCAAGTATTTATAGCAATTCAGTGCTATCTTGTATGCAGTGGCTACTCCAATGTTGAAAACAGGGCAAAGCGCTGGAGGAGTTAAAGTTGCTGTGACAGATCCAGTCATGATGACAGTGAAATTAAAACTCAGGCATCATTCACTCCAAGGACTCAGCTTGGTTCACTAGGAGAGGGTGGCCACATTCTTTTTCGTGGATGTGAAGTGAAATGTGACATCATGGTATTTACAGTAAGAAAAGGACCTTCCACTGCTTGTGATGTAACTTACTGACAGCAAAAAAAAGTAGTCATGCTTCTTTTCATATCACGTGATGGTGGCAAGACAGAGAACATGCTTGTCTAACATTGTTGGGTTACAGATAAATTCTCAGAAGACAAAGCATCAGCGACTGAATGGAAGGCCTGGTATCAGTTCATCTTTAGTGGAGTTATTCAGTCTGCAGGTGGATGTCACAGACTCCTTCAATAAACCCAGCTACGGCGTTTCTGTGACAGGGCGTTTCTGTTTCAAAGTGTCAATGAGGGATAAGACCCCTCGTTTCACATTGGTTGTGACTCTTCTGGTCACCGAGTCTGGCGGAGGAGGTGGTCGAACTTTCTGTGAAGGCGGCCTGGCTACCAAGCACTTCTGGTATCGTAACTGAAATAAAACAAAAAGTGTTTACTGGTCACTAATAAAGCATCATCTCTTCTTTAATTTGAGTTTAATTCAGCACCACTACATTTTCTCCCAAAAGTTAACAACCCAGCTCCTAAACATAAATCCAAGGGTTTGTTTTCTTCTTAACGTGGGTGTTTTAATTCTCTTAAAGATGATTAAACTCAACAAAGATGATGTGGCTTTTTTTTAAATAGAGGTACACACAATAAAATGCACAAATCTTAGTGCGCAGCTTAATTTTGACATGTATATATACTCATGTAACCATTGCCCGGATCCAGACATCAAACGTTTTCATTTAACTTTCCCCCTTTCACTCCCACCCCTCCCCTATGGCAGCCACTGGTCTGTCTGTGTTTATGAGTCTATTTAGTTTTGTTCCTTTGTTTTGTGTTTTAGAATCCACATATAAGTGAAATCATATGCCTTTGTCTTTCTCAGACTTATTTCACTTAGCATAGTATCCTTTAGGTCCATCTATGTTCCTGCAAATGGCAAGACTTCATTCTTTTATGGGTAATGCTCCATTATATATACATACCACATCTTCTTTATACATTCATCTATCAATGGACATTTAGGTCATTTCCATATTTGGGTTACTGTAAATGATGCTAGGGTAAACATTTGAGTACATGTATCTTTTTGGATTAGTGGTTTTGTTTTCTTGGGTAAATTCCCAGAAGTAAAATTGCTTGGTAATCTGGTATTTATGTTTTTAGTTTTTTGAGAAATTCCATACTGCTTTCCATAGTGGCTGTACCAACTTGCAATCCCACCAGTAGTGCCCAAGCGTTCCCTTTTCTCTGCATCCTAACCAGCACTTGTTACATTTCTTATCTTTTGGATAGTGGCCATTCTGGCTGGTGTGAGGTGTATCTCATTGTGGTTTTGATTTGCATTTCCCTGATGATTAGCAATGTGGAGCATTGTTTTCATGTGTCTATTGGCCATCTGTATGTCTTCTTTGGAAAAATGTCTATTCAGGTCCTTTGCCCATTTTTAAATTGGATGTTTTTTTTGGGGGGGGTTGTTGAATTGTATGAGTGTTTTATATATTTTAGATATTAACCCCTTATCAGATACATCATTTGCAAATATATTCTCCCATATAGTAGGTTAGTAGGTTGTCTTTATATTTTATTGATGGTGTCCTTTGTTATACAGCAGCTTTTTAGTTTGATGTAGTCCCACTTGTTTATTTTTGCTTTTGTTTCCCTTGCCTGGGAAGATGTATCCAGAAAAAAGTTATTAATGATGATGCTAAAGAGTTCACTGTCTGTTTCTTCTGAGAGTTTTATGATTTCATGTCTTATATTTAGGTCTTTCATCCACTTTGAGGCATTGTTTTTTTGTATGGTGTTAGACAGTGATCCAGTTTCATTCTTTTGCATGTCACAGTCCAGTTTTCCCAACACCATTTATTGTAGAGACTGTCTTTTCTCCACTGTACATTTTTGCCTCCTCTGTCATATATTAATTGGCCACATAGGCATGGGTGTTTCTGGGCTCTTACTCTGGTCTATGTATTCCATTGGTCTATGTATCTGTTCATTGTGCTGGTACCATACTGTTTCGATTGCCATAGCTTTGTAGTATAGTTCAAAACCAGTATCATTAAGAAGATCACTAGGCTCAACAAAGGTATTATAGCTTTTTCCACCTTTTCCTTTCATCCATCTCTGCCCTCTATTTTTCTCTATATTAATAGGCTGCAATTAATATACCTCAAAGACAAAGAGCTAATGAAAAGAAAAGGATTGTGAGAGGTAGTGTTAAATTTTCACCAACGACTTGTACATCTGTGTATATGAGGTGAGTGCCCCTGACTAACTGAGAGAATATAAAGGGCATTTTGAATCTAGGCTCTATCACTTATGTGAACTGTATATATAACTTATACATACTTACACAGGCTAGTTATTAAATCTCTGAGTCTTAGTGTCTTCAGTGTAAAATGGCTGAAGAATAGGGATCTTTACAGAGGGTGTTAGGTTTTAAGGAATACTTGCAGAATGCCTAAAATAGGCCTAGCAACAAGGAAGGCATTCATAAGTGTTTGTTCCCTTCCCTATTTCCTGCTTTAATTGAAAAGGTTCATGTATTAAGATTTCAAGATCCATTTTATATACAAGTCTAAATCCTAATGGATTAATTTCTAAAAATCCACTAGCAGTTTCTATCCTTCAGAAATAGAACACAATTCACCTGCTTTCATATTAATGCAAAAATAAGTAATCCTTCAGAATCCTTTGTATCCTGGCATATTTGGGTTAATCTCCTGGCTCACAGCCCTGGAGGGGAGATGATCTGACTAACACAGGCCAGTGGCAGAAAGAAAGCTGGGTGATGAGTGCACACCACCACATCTGCCTTCCGGTCTGCCTCCTTCCTGCACAGCCCAAAGATGTCTGGTAAGATGGATGTCAGTTGGCTCTCTCTTCTCATTCCCCACCTTTCCCACCTTCTGTTCAACTTAAAACTCACCAAACGCTTTTTTCTCCTACTCTGAGCACTTTAAAATAACTCTGTGGCTGGTATTTTTAAGTACCTAAAATACTTAAATCTACTTAAAATTAGTAGGCTCTTTAGTACAGAGTGAAATAGGCTGGTTTGTCCCCTGAGAAGCCTCAACTATCTACAGCAAGACTGTGTCAGAGTGCTCTGTCACAGCCCATAAGCCACAAAACTATGAAATCCAATCATATGAAAAACAACTTACTAAGTTTCCCATGTGAGGTATCTTAGTAGGTCTGCACCACCCCACAAACCACACACTTCTAAAGCATGGATTTATAAATGGGCAGGTGTAGCAAAATGGTATCCTGGACTGGGGATTTCTAATGTATGTATGTACGTCCAGCGTTTACCAAAATTGTACCTGGTGAATTTCATTAAAGATCCCTCTGTCTTATGCTAAATATCACCAAAATCCCTTCACAGCTGGGCCTCTACTACACAGCTGCAAAATATGCCTAAAATAAGTAGATTCAAAAGAATGTGTTAACACCATAGATAATTCAGATGGAAAATCAGACAGATTTAAATAAAGAGGAGAGTCACTGAGTTAGAAATGCTGGATTCTGAGTGGAGAGAAAGGTTTGAGTTTATCAGTACACCTTGTACTGGATTGGCTGGTTGCCCAATTACACAATTAAAATAAGCAAATGAGTACAAATTGTTTCTAAGAGAGAAAATGAGTCTGGAAATCAGAAAACAAACTGTAACCAGTGATAAAGCTAATTATTTGTCATCGGCACTTAAAATGTATAATTAAGGCTAAAAGCCATTGATTTTATGACTAAAACCATCTGTTATGATCCTTTTCAATTTCATGAAATACCTTAATAATCACCCTCCATGTTCCCTTGGCTGAACTCTCCCGCTTTCTTCACCCCCCTCGGTTTCCCACGCCTTGGTCAGGCATTGCATAGTGGCTCCTCTGCCCCGCTCGCTCCTCCCACTGGCCCTGCTCCTTTGTGTCCTGGCAGATTTGGGTAAATCTCCTGGCTCACAGCCCTGGAGAGGAAATGGTCAGACTAACACAGGCCAGTGGCAGAAAGAAAGCTGGGTGATGAGTGCACACCACCACATCTGCCTTCCGGTCTGCCTCCTTCCTGCACCACCCAAAGGTGTCTGGTAAGATGGATGTCAGTTGGCTCTCTCTTCTCATTCCCCACCTTTGCCACCTTCCGTTCACTTCATCCTTTTCCTTTATTCTTACCCAGCAGCTTACAAAAGAGAGAATTACCTCCACTTCCCTAAACTCCGCCTACTATTCCTGGATTCTTAGTGTCTACTGGCTAGTCTCAAAGTTGCTCTAATCCCATTAGGAGGCTAAGCCCCAACCCTAGGCTCTTGATTTACCACCAACTACATATATATGTGATTCCCATTAAATTGGCTTTACTGGCACATTCCCTAAAAAATGTATGAATCTCCCCCATGGTAAAACAGACCCCTCAGCACTGTGCTTCAAGGTACCCCTTCACTGTCAGACTCTGAGACTGATCTACTTTCAGGGCCTCCACCTCTTTTTTCTCCCAGCCACTTCTCAATCCAGTGCAATTTCCTGCTTTTATTTATAGCACTCTCTACACTAAAAGAATTTTGGTTTGTGTGTCTACCCCATATATCTAAGCTCCATAATGCACTATCTTAGTCATACTTGAATTTCCTGGACTCCAGCCCATAAATAGTGGATTGAATTAAATGAAACATAGTTTGCTTCAAATTCAGCTTTCCTCATCCCAGCCAGGTGATTCTCTACCCCAGATGTCAAATCATCTGCTCCTGCTTACTCCACCGCGACGCTCCTGGTGTGGATCCTCCAGCACTCTCATCTGGACCAGTAAAATGGGGTGGCTAGTCCCTACCTCCCCACCTCCCTACCTTGGCTGTGTCCTTTTAAACCATCCTCTACTTTGTGTTTTGTTTTGTTTTTTTGAGTACACTTTTAAAACCTACTAGGATCAGTTCAGTCTCCTGCTTACCAGTCTTTGCTGAGATAAACACTTTGGCATGACATCACAGGCCCTTCATGATATGGACCTCACCTCCTTCCACTGGGTTCCAGGAACCCAACCTGCTGTTTCTAGAAAACACCCGGATGCCAGACTTTGATGCCTACATTCATACAGCTCCCTCATGTTTACTAGAACTTCCTCAGTGCTTGGCATAAGAGGTGCTCAAAGGATATCTGTGGAATGAATGAGATTTTTTTGTTTGTCTGAAATCATATAAATGGTACAAAGAGCACTGGCTCTGTTACCCAGAAAACTTGGGGTTAAATGCAGGCCCTGTCACTTAACCAACTATGTGTCCTGGGGCCCTTTATTTCCTCTGATCCTGTTTTCTTATAAATAAAACAGAACAACTACCTAACAGCATTGCTATAAGGATTGTGTTCAGAAAGTAAATAAAACATTTAAGAACAACTCATTTAAGCCAACCATCTGAACCATCATTCAATACACTGTACTTTTTAAAAAAGTACTGTGTAGAAAGAAATAAAAGGCATCCAGATTGGTATGGAAGAAGTTAAACTGTCACTGTTTGCAGATGACATGATATTGTACATACAAAACCCTAAAGAATCCACTCCAAGACTGCTAGAACTAATATCTGAATTCAGCAAAGTTGCAGGATACAAAAGTAATTCACAGAAATCTGTTGCATTCCTATACACTAACGGTGAACTAGCAGAAAGAGAAACCAGGAAAACAATTCCATTCACAATTGTATCAAAAAGAATAAAAAGCCTATGAATAAACCTAACCAAGGAAGTGCAAGACCCTAAAAACTTTAAGACACTCTTAAGAGAAAGTAAAGAGGACACTAATAAATGGAAATTCATCCTATGCTCTTGAGTAGGAAGAATTAATATTGTCAAAATGGCCATCCTGCCTAAAGCAATCTACAGAGTCAATGCAATCCTTATCAAAATACCAACAGCATTCTTCAGTGAACTGGAACAAATAGTTTTAAAATTCATATGGCACAAAAGACCCCGAATAGCCAAAGCAACCCTGAGAAGGAAGAATAAAGCAGGGGGGATTATGCTCCCCAACTTCAAGCTCTACTATAAAGCCACAGTAATGAAGACAATTTGGTACTGGCACAAGAACAGACCCATAGACCAATGGAAGACTAGGGAGTCCAGATAAAAACCCAAGCATATATGGTCAATTACCAGACAATAAAGGAGCCATGTACAATGGGGAAATGACAGCCTCTTCAACAACTGGTGTTGGCAAAACTGGACAGCTACATGTAGGAGAATGAAACTGGATTACTGTCTAACTCCATACACAAAAGTAAACTCAAAATGGATCAAAGACCTGAATCTAAGTCATGAAACCATAAAACTCTTAGAAGGAAACATAGGCAAAATTCTCTTAAACGTAAACATGAGCAACATTTTCATGAACACATCTCCTTGGGCAAGGGAAACAAAAGCAAAAATGAACAAGTGGGACTATATCAAGCTGAAAAGCTTCTGTACAGTGAAGGACACCATCAGTAGAACAAAAAGGCCTCCTACAGTATGGGAGAATATATTCATAAATGGCATACCTGATAAAGGGTTGACATCCAAAATATATAAAGAACTCACATACCTCAACAACTGAAAAGCAAATAAGCTGATTAAAAAATGGGCAGAGGATCTGAACAGACACTTCTTCAAATAAGAAATTCAGATGGCTAACAGGCACATGAAAAGATGCTCCACATCACTAATCATCAGGAAAATGCAAATTAAAACCACAATGAGATATCACCTCACACTAGTTAGGATGGCCAACATCCAAAAGACAAACAACAAATGCTGGTGAGGATGTGGAGAAAGGGGAACCCTCCTACACTGCTGGTGGAAATATAAATTATTTCAACCATTGTGGAAAGCAGTATGGAGATTCCTCAAAAAACTAAAAATAGAAATGCCATTTGACCCAGGAATTCCACTCCTAGGATTTACTATAGGAAAACAGGATCACAGGTTTTAAAAGACATATACACCCCTATGTTTATTGCAGCACTATTTACAATAGCCAAGAAATGGAAGCAACCTTAGTGCCCACCAGTAGATGAATGGATAAAGAAGATGTGGTACACATACACAATGGAATATTATTCAGCCATAAGAAGAAAATAACTTCTACCATTTACAATAACATGGGTGGAGCTAGAGGGTATTATGCTCAGTGAAATAATCCAGGCAGAGAAAGACAAGTATCAAATGATTTCACTCATCTGTGGAGTATAAGAACAAAGCAAAAACTGAAGGAACAAAACAGCAGCAGACTCACAGAACCCAAGAATGGACTAACAGTTGCCAAAGGGAAAGGGGCTATGAGGGTAGGTTGGAAGGGAGGGATAAGGGAAAAAGGGGCATTACGATTAGCACACATAATGTAGGGCGGGCATGGGAAAGGCAGTATAGCACAGAGAAGACAAGCAGTGATTCTATAGCATCTTACTATGCTGATAGACAGTGACTGTAATGGGGTAGGTGGTGGGGACTTGATAACGGGGGGAAGGTAGTAACCACAATGTTGCTCATGTAATTGTATATTAATAAATAAATAAAAAAGGACTGTGTTGGTTCCAAACAGCACCAACTCACACATGACCAACATTTCCTGATTGTGTACGGAAATTAATTAGAGACCAAGAATGGAGAATTCTCAAATTGTGACTGAGGATCACTGTTCTCCATGTGACTGGAGTCTCTATGGAAACTGGCTGCATCTGGTCCTGCTTCTTCCAGGTGTCCTTGCCTCTCGAGATGGCAAACTGCTTATCATCACTGATTCCGTCCACAGGAATGAGAGTATTATACAGTAAGGGAATACTTTAGAGATGAGACTTTTTTTCTTTTAAATTAGTAACTCGGCTTTGATTTGCAGCATACAAAACAAAAGCAAAGGGATGAGGGCCGAACCTGTCATGGAATTACTCACCATGCAGGCAGCCTGCACTGCCTCGGACACGTTCCCGGCATTAGGCTCGCACCAGAAAACATGGCACTCAAAGTGCTGGTTCCCAGTGTCCATGATGAAGGCAAAGGTGTGGACATCCTTCCCGACGCCCATAAAGGACAGGAATCGCACACGACACTCCACTAGGATTTCCTCTTCACTCTGCAAGACACGCTGTTCAGCAGCCTGCTCTCTGTGAAGCTGGGCAACAGTCACAAACAGGTTCAGATCTTAAATCACAGAATCAAGCTTAGAGCGGCCACACATGGGAACTTGTATTTAAAAAATAAAGCCAGACTGATTTAGACAGGACTGGTATTTTTCTAGACAGGCAAGTTTCTCATTGTGTCTGGAGAGGCCATCACTGCTGTGGGTGTCTGATTCCAGACTCCAGACTTGCCCTCAGCTACACTGCAACTGTGATATGTGTGTTCTGTTCTCTGACCACTACCCTCCAAGCCTGTGACCTCACTGTGGGTAGGAACAGTGTCATGCGCCCTTCTTATGCCTTGCCCATACAGGGCACCCAGTGGCTCAAAACCCATTCACCCCAGTGAACCCACTGGAAACCCCAGAGCATCATGGAAAGAAGCCATGGGATCTTCTTCCCAAGCCAAGCAGCACATTGTATCGTATTTCCCTCCAGACCGTGTAAAACAAAAAGTTACCAAGTCATTTTTTTCTCTTTCTCACAAACTGCTATCCATATGGTATCCATATGATGCAGGGTAAAGAAATGTTTAGAATTCATTCTTACGAACATATCCTTTGCAGCAACCATATGCACTTTTGAATTAGTAAACACACCCGGAATGTTGACTTTTGGATCACTAACATCTTGACTTATTAAGCATTCACTCAGGTGCAATGGAATTGCTTAACAGGCAAATTAAGTTAGTCTGAGAGGCTGGGAACTTTTCTTGGGAGAAATGATGTTTAAACTGAGATCTGGGAAAGGGTAGGTAGGTAAAGTGGCAGAGCTCAGAAGCAGTAGCACTTGCAAAGATGGTCAGGTAGGAAGGGGTGTGACATGTTTGAAGACTTGAAGAAAATCCAGCATGGCAGGCTGGACAGGCCAGCACGATCAGTGAGGGTCTTAATCCTCTTTAGACAGGGAATTGGGCTTGAAGGTGACCTGCTAGTGGACAGAAGCAAGGGGAGGCTGAGGACTTTATACAACAAGTGCTTCACAAAGACACCTGTGAATGGTAAAGTGGTAAAGAGTCAGACTATTTGCATTTGAATCCAGATCCGGCTACGTCTAGCTGTGTGACTGTGGGCACTTACTTAACCTTTCTGTGCCTCAGTTTCCTCAATCACAAAATTGGGGTAATTTGGGATGAGGCTAATGCTGGCCTCTCTCAAGATAACCAACAGCCCCTGCTACTACTGACAAGACATGCCACAGGACACTCCATGTTAGAAGCATCTCCTGTGTCCTGGCTCCAGTCAGCACTAAAGCCTGAAGAGTGACCAGAAGACCAAACCCCATTAAAGAGCCATTGTGAGCATCACACAGTCACATCTGGCAATGACTTCAATCTCTTGGGCACATGAGAGGGGATCAGGAGCACCCGAACAGGAGCTTCTGAGAAAGCAAAGACATGCAAAGATCCAGACACAAAGAGCAAAATGTTTTTTTTTAATGTAGGCTATTTTAATCATAAGCAAGCATGACTTCCCAAGGGGTCAGGCCTTGGCTATGTGTCAAAGTGTCATGGAGCCCAGACAGGCCCCCTGCATCCATGGTCCTTCTCACCTTCTCACTGATGACAGTCACAGTAGCATCGGCCACGTTCATGTTCACAGACGGCCAATCCTCCTTGCTGGATGAGGTCGTAAGTGTTTCTATGGCATTGTTTAGGGTATCCATTCCTGTGGATGGGATGGGTAATTGAAAAGGATCCTGAACCTGTTCATCACTCTCAAATATGGGCTCAAATCACCCAGAAACAACCGTATCCAAACTGATCTTGTTTTCGTAGCCCTAGAAGACATCTCATTTGAGCATTTCATTGCTGAAAAGAAAAGAAATGCCAGCCTTTTTTTTTTAACGGACAGAGGAGTCACAGGAGCCTCCAGGGATGCAGTGTGTGACATCCTGTCTCGTGGGGCCACGGTCCTACTTTCTGTCTCTCCAGACCCCCCACCCTGGAGTGTATGAACAGTACTCAAGGCAATGCCAACTTCTTCCAGGCAAGGAGCCCTGGGCAAGGGGACGCAACAGGAGCCAGCATCTGCGAGACCATGCTGATCCTCCTTCATCTAACTTTGTACTTAAATATGGCCAAGCTTGGAAGGCACCCATACACTAGGGCTATGCGTTATTTAATGGGGGGCCTTCCCCTGAGGGTTCCCACAGTCACTTTTTGTGGGGCAGGGGAAGGGTGGGATAATAACTTTGAGATAAAAATTCACATACCATACAATTAATTCATTTAAAGTGTATAATTCAGTGGTTCTTAGTGTATTCACAGAGTAGGGCAGTTAACTTCAGAACTGTTTTATCACCCCAAAAAGAAACTCTGCACCTTTTAGGAGTCACCATCCGTTTCTTCCTAGGCCCCTAGCCCCAGGACACTACTTATTTAATTTCTAATTCTAGACTTGCCTACTCTGTACCTTTCATATAAATGGAATCATAAAGCATGCAGCCCTTTGTGTCTGACTTCTCTTAGTGTAATGCTTCCAAGGTTCATCCATGTGGTGGCATGTTTCAGTACTTTTCAGCCAAATAAAACCCCATTTATCCTTTTGTCTATTGATGGATATTTGGGACCCACTTCTTGACTATTATGAATACTACTGCTATGAACATTCATGTACAAATTTTTGTATGGACAGGGGTTTTCGCTTTACTTGGTATATGGGTAGGAGCAGAACTGCTGGGACAAATGGTAACTTCATGCTGAACCTTTTGAGGAACTGCCAGACTGTTTTCCAAAGTAGTTGCACCATCTTACATTTCCCCTCAGTAGTGCACAAGGGTTCAGATTTCTCAAGAGTCGTTTCTACCCTTGTAAAGGCTACGTCTCCCAGCCTCCTTTCAACTTGGTATGGCTAAGCAACCAGGTGCTGCCCCTGAGATGTGAGCCGACTGCAGGGTCACACCCTGAAAGGGAAGCATGAGGGCTCCCTCAGCCCCTTGTCCCTGCCCACCAGCTGACAAGGACTAAAGTGTGTTCCCTACCCAAGAGATGGAAGCCCCTCTTGAGAAATGGCAGAGCCCTTCTGCAACCCTGGATTGTGCAACTCTGGACTGTTGGGTGAGTAGATTTATGTGTCTTCCTTATTAAATTGCCTGTATTCTGGGGCCCACATGTCAGAGCAGCCTAGCCTGTCCTCTATTGCTCTTTTGATCAGGACTGCTTATGTGCTCCGATTGGTGACAGTGCAAGGGCCTGAGTCAAGAAAAGGGAGTAAAGAAAAGATGCAAGGAAAGGGAGTGAAACAGCAGACCGGACCTTTTGGGGAGGGCAAACACCTCCTAAGAGCTCTCAAACACTTGCAAAGTAGAAATACATAAATGTTTGACATACCGACTGGTTTGTCTACAGGTAACATGCCCAAATACTGCACATGGAACTTCTGGACCAGCTCAGTCTTTGGTGTTGGAAAATCTACTACAGAGAACAAAAGCAACACATTTTTCTCAGTGATTCTGACAAACACATAAAATCCAGCCATCCCTCTGTGTCAGGAATGCCCAGACCACCACCTGTGCATAATGTACTCTTTCGGGAGGTAAATGCAGCAACTACTCTATGCGAATGGCATCTCATGCACCAGACACTGGGGCTCTGTCAGTCAAAATCCATTAAACCTTAATTTCTGGGTAGGAAAGCATGTGAAAGCAGCAACTGGAATCTACAAGTTAAAGCAGCTACTGTCTCTTTGATATATGCTAAATAGCAGATTTTGACGTCCTAGTTGTTAGGTGTGCTTGATGCCGAGAGAAAAGGTAATCACTGATGGCACAATCATGAGCAACAGGGAAAATAAACAGAATCACCCCAAATAGTAATCCATATATATTAGTGGCAGGTGTACAACATAATGATTCAACATTTGTATATACTGTGGAATGATCATCACAATAACCCCTAGTTAACAACTATCACTAAAGATGGTTACCAAAAAAAATTTTTTTAAATATCAACTCACGTATTTTTAAACTAGCTGGTTCTTACCCCAGGCTGTACATGAGTTACAAAAACACTGAAGACAATATTTTTAATCCTATCCAATAACAACACAATTCATCCCGACCCTTTATGCCTCATCCTAGGGACACGAAGTCACCTTTCTGCTGTGGGAGGGCCCGGAGTACATGCTCAGCATATGGTTGTCGAGCTGAACACAGGTTTTAAGGAGACTAGAAACACCAGGGACCCACGGGAGACCCTTCGGCTGCTGACAAGCCATCCCGAAAAAAGCAGGTGTGGCCAACCTACCTTGCAAGGGGACGTCGAGACTCACACTGGGTCTTTCCTGTAAGGAGCTGCATGCCAGGGCTTTGGCATTTTTCCGTTCGGCCATAATCTGAAGAAGAGAAAACACAGCTTTGCCTCATGGTTACAGATTTCATATTTTCAGCTATTCCAGCCAGTAAGGTGTCTGAGCGGATTTCACTTCAAAGTTGGACTGGTGTTAGTGTATTGCCTGACTTCCTCCTCTTGTATCACTGAAGCTACATGTTTTGAGAACTGTGCTCATTTTCTCTCGGGATAACAGGTGAATGACTAGGCCTCAGAGGAACAGTCTCCTAACTGTTTGGAATTTATTCTTCCATTCAGCAGGCTTTCACCTCCAGGGAAACCCACGCAAATATCCTCCGGCCACTGGTGGACCTGCTGGCCTGCTGTGGTCAGCGGGACACAGAGCAAGAGACTTCTCCCATGGCTTACAGATGCTGACTTTTAGGTCCCCATCAGGGCTCTGGGGACAAAGTACATAGAGTTCAAATCCTACCTCCCCCACATACTAGCTGAGTGACCTTGGGCAAGTCACCTGACCTCTTATGTCTTATTTACTTGACTGTTCATGGGGATAACATTTATGCCCCTGATAATAATGTCACTTCTGAGGATTAAATATAAGCACTCAGAAATATTAGCTGCTATCATTGTTGTTATTCTCCAGCTGTTTAAACCTGTCAGCTGTCTACTAAACTGTCTCTCTCCTGTTAGGGGCACTTACATCTCCTTTACTGAACGGTTATCACTTTTCACTCCTGTTTACACAGTGCTGTGCATTTAGGGCCTGAAAAAAACCCACCCTTCAATGGCCCTAAAAGTAATTCACATCTTCATTCTCATCCCAAATTTTCCATTCCAGGTGGAATAAAGTCATTTCCTCCCCAGAGCTCCACTCCGCCCATCTCTAGATCTGTGTCTGGGATAGCACGCAAGACAGCTGCTGACAATAATAAAATGAAATATTTATTGAGCACTTAATCTGTGCCAGGCCATGTTCTGAGGGCTTTCCACTAGAATATGAGCTCCACACAGGCAAGGGGTTTTTTTTTGTTTTGGTCTCTGCTGTGTCCTTAGAATAGTATGTGGCACATAGTGTTCAATTATATTTGTTGCATGAATGAATGAAGAAAATGAGACCTGGGGAGTGTGCTGCAATGCTGCAAAAGGTGCAGCCATGTTCCTGGCCTGTCGATGCAAGAATTGAATAGAAGCAGGAATAAATGTGGTGATCTCTAGACCAGCACCCATCCTACATGTTCTGGTCACCTGGGTCAGAGTGGCAGAGACGTGGGCTATTTCCTTCAGGGCTGGGAGAGGGCTCCTGGTCCCCACCCCTCCCTTGGCAATGATGGCTTGCACCTGCTTTGCTCCTGCTGCTCTGTTACCAGGCTGGGCCATGGTGGTGGCTGTGGCTGGGCCTTGCTGGCTCAGGAGGGGTTGTGGGAGTGAGGCTGGGTCATGACATCAGCCTCAAACCAGAAAGGTGATGTTCAACAGAAGCGATGTCAGAGCCCTGTGTTTAGATTCACTAAGTCAGACCAGGGAGTGGAAAGGCCTGGCTCAAGGAAATGGGTTACAGTGTTCTGGAGATTTGGCTGACCACCATCTGAACACAAGCCCAAGGGTGAGGCGGTGGAAAAGCACACCAATCACCTGAGCACTGTATCCTTGGAGAGCAAAGGACGGAGTAGCCCATGGTCTGTTCGCTGCCAGCTAATTGTGGAAACACTTCATTCCGGGGGAACCAACCAGACTCTGCCCAGAAGAGGAAGGTTAGAAGCTGGCAACCACATGATCTCAAGTGGCTGAAGAGATGGGGGTAGGGATGTTGGAGAAGGGAGGAGGCAGCAGGAGGAATCAATGGCAGACACCTGGCCAGCACCTCTGAATACACCAGGTACAGCCCACAGCTTCAAATACAAAGGCTGCCCCACAGTGAGACAGAATGGAGGGATCTTTCTCTGTTACCACAGACCAACATCTCAAGTAAATACATGCAAGGTCCAGAGAGGAAGACTGCTGGTCAGCAGAAGAACTCTGGAACAGCCAGACTGCTCAGTGACAGAACAGTCTCTTGAAAAGCCTGAGACTCTGTCATTTGAAGTTGATAGGAGACAGTGGAAATCAACAGAAGCTGAGGGTGGAGATATTTATAGTGAGGATTTATATATATTTATTTAATGCTCTGTTGGAGGGAAGAAGCACAGGATGAAGTTGGACTGGTGACACCCAGCTGTCTCCTCTCATTATGAGGCTCTGTGACTCTGGGTAAGGAAGCGGGACCGTTACCAGTGTGAGAAAGTGACAACAGTCCTGTCTACAGGTGGTCAGCATTTCCACAAGCCACTGTGTGTCCAAAGGAAGTCAGCGTGTGCCTGTGGAAACCTCCTGCTGCCCGCATGTCCATGGACGCCAGGCAGCCTCCTCTTACCTTTCCTTCCACTGTGTTTACCCTCAAATCTGCCCTGATCCCTTTCCCCCTTTTCTAGTAGAATAGGTATATACATTTCTGCCACTGGAGTTCCCACTATTCTATCCACCTATTTTACTCCCCAAACTGTGGGAGGGGCCGAGGCTGTACTCATTTTATAGATGGAGTGCATTTAGAGCAATGCCTGACACACAAGAGAACCTGAACTAATGGCTAAACAAGCAGCCTGTCTGCTTCTCCCTGAGCCCGATGTGCCCCCTCCTGCCCTTTCCCATCCCCTCCGCTGCTCAAGCCGTGAGGACGCAGGATGGGCCACTGTACCCTGAACCACCTTACCTTGGAACAGATTTCGTGAAGACTTGTAGCGATGGCTTTTGCTGGTGTGTCACATCGAAATACATGACATTTCAAAATTCTTGTATCTTTGTCTCTTGCTACATAAGCAAAATCTCTGCACAAATAAAAATTTATCAGTACATTAAAAAAATGAACCTTTACCAACACTCATTCTAGTTATAAATGTTAGCTGACCTAGTGGCCAGCGTAAGAGTGGTGAACAGTGTACGCAATGGTTAAAAAAATAAAGTTTTGACAGATACTAACAAAGGAACAATTTTATGGATATTAGGAACTCATCCTGAGTAGAATAACTACAATGTTCCCCAAACTCAGTCTGTTTACCTTCTGGAATCTCTAACAACCCCAAATGAAAACTGAATTCTTTAGGAAGCCTATCTAGAATAACAACAAAAATGATTATAAATGTTATGATTACAAAACAGAAAACAGGCTTGAGAAAGCATGAGTTGGCATCAGTGATATTATGACAAACAGTGGTGTGGAAGCAGAAGAGTGGGCTCTGACGTGTAAACATGTGCACAGAGAATGGATCAGACACGCAGCTGCATGGGAAAGCTGACGGGCAATCACAGGGCTGGCTGGAGTGCAGAGGCACCACAGACTGAAACCCTGTCAAAGGTGCCTGATGCTGTCGAACACTTCTCATACTCTGGAGCTCAGGGCAACGGTGGTAGCATCCCACTATTTATTGTAGCTCCGATGCCATGGTGAGTATGCAAGCTGGCACTGAATTTTAGCATCTGCTTTGCTGATGAAAAGGACACTGACTGTGACATTACCTGGCTTCAGAAGAACTCTGCTACACAGCTAAATTTTCGCTGTTATTATTGGAGGACAGTGGTTTAAAGAGCAAAGTGTTTATACAAAGTCAATATCCCAGATTTACCCATCTGGAGCATAATGATTTCTTTGTGCATGTTGCTAAGCCAGGATGCTGTCTATGAATAGGACCACAGATGAATTTATTGTTCGTTATTTCTGTTAACGTAAGAACTGGCAGTCTTTTCACAGACTCTGGTAGATTCTTTCCCTGGCATATCCTTGGCTTCCTTGGGAGGGCACAGGGATCTACTCACTGGACACAACTGGCCACCATGAAGGTGGGGCTGCAGCTCAGGGACATCTTTACCCAGCTGCCCACAGGGACTTTCACTGAGCCGGTCCATGCCTGACGTCGATATCTGCTCTCCCCTACCTTTCATCCTTTCCTCATGTACTGCAGTTGGAGTCCTCCGCGCTACAACCACGAGGCCTTCCTGATTTCCCCTTTCCTCCTGAAAATGCCCTGACCCCACCCTTTCCTCACCAGCCCCACCGCCACTCAGGCATGCTGAGCAGGACTGCACCTTAGTCACACTGGCTCCCAGCCCTGGCTGTGGTTTAGGGTGCAACTAATGCTAAGTGAGCACCCTTCCCTGCACTTAAGCCCCACAGGTATCTGCTTGCAAGTCTGTCCCCCCCAACAACTCCTTGAGGCTCTGTGAAGATACTGTGCCTTATTCCTTGCCAAGACCCAGTCCTGGCCATAACAGGGACTGAGCGCTCCTTCCTTCCTAAAGCATAGGGCCTGCAGCGTGTGTCCAGATTTCCTATCAGGTAAGCTGGCCCATAGTCAGCAGTGTGGACCAAGACAGCTGAGGGGTGGGTCTGGGCAAGGAGCTGGGCACAGACTTTGAAGGGTTAGCACAGTCACATGGCATTTCTGAGGCTTTTCATCGTAATCTTAACCACCATCAAAACAACATATTACTTAAAAAGGAAGAGAAAGTGTCACTATTGGAGACCATGCTCAAAGGAAGCCCTGTTTCCATCCCCCACACCCACCTCTGGCTACTTTTCTTTCCTAGATGGATCCTAAAGTAATGTATGCATTGCCTCACCACACAAAACTGCTTTCCTTCAAAATTTCATGTTCAGCCACCATTTTTCTGAGGCCAAATCTCTTTGAAGTTCCTATGGCCACCCAGGAAAGTCCAAAAACCTTAGCCTGGATTCCCAGAGTTCCAAAATGTGTCCTACTAATTCTTCCAGCATGGGGCTCTCCTGTCTGCTCCAGGAAGAGGGATCCCCATGTTCGCTCGAGGTATCTCCCCTCACCTGGTGCCCATTGGCCTCCCTGTACCGCCTGGAGGGTGCCACTGCCCAGCAAAAGCCTGCCTGGCATCTGGCTTTCAGGATCTTGCTTGGGCCTAAATGCTTATAGTATTTAAACTCTGTACCACAAAGGATAAGTGCTTGTTACTATCCTTATAGTTACTAAACAGATCTCACCTGTGTCTGTCCTCTCTCAGGGACAATAAGGAACAGCCAGAGGGCACTGAATGGGTTTTAGGTAACCCCACTTCCAGCCCCATTCCTGATTCCACTGAGCCATACAGTGTTGGGCGTGGAGCCTAACCTCGCCTCTAAGTGAGGGTGTTGTTGAAAAACATGATTTTCAAGGTCCCTTCCTGGCTCTGATACTCTCTTATGTCAGTTCCAAGATCCATCCTGTTCTCTGTGACTGCTGGCTGGCCTGCAAGTGTAGCGACTGCAAGGTTACCACCAGGGATGAGGGAACAGGCCCTGCATCAATAAGCAATGGATCATTCCTATCAGACTTCAACACTGTGCCCTCTGTTCTTTCATATGCAACCCCTTAGGAGTAATTTTTCTAAAAATTATTATTATTCATCTTCATTTTCTCTTGGCACAGGAGAAAGTGATTAATGTCTAAGGCAACCATCTGGAACCCACATCTTCTCCAAGGAGAAGCTCACCAACCACAGGCTTTATTTGGGGGATTCTGACAATTTTTTCTTTTTAAACAGCTTTGTGTTTTCCTGTTCCTTTCTAGGTACCTGGCTAATAGATCAGGGAGGTAGCAATCTGTCAGTCCAGGACAGTCCACAACTAAACCTCTGGTGGCTTCATCTGCTTCGCAGGAAAAAACAAGTGTCTCCTCTCCTCAGTGTGGAGACCAGGAGATATGCCTGTCTATCCAATTATTCCCACGAGATACATCCTGAGTTACCCTGAAGAGATGACAGCCCTATCCACTGGGACCTGTAAAGGGCAGCGAAGCCTCTCCTTAAGACCCAGAACACAAACTGAACAACTTCCTTTGTGTGAAATGAAATACATGGCTGATCTAATCTCATTATTATTCAGAATGATATCCAAACATCACCCAATGGGCTGCTTTAAAAGCTTGGTTTTTCTGCACCTGATATCTAAAAATGCCTGTTGTAGTGACAGAATGATGACCTTCCCAAGATGTTCACATCCTAATTCCCAGAATCTGTGAATATGTCACCTTACATGGCAACAGGGGCTCTGCAGATGCGATTAAGTTAAGGATGGGGCTGTTAGGCCTGGATTATCTGGGTGGACCCAACACAATTACTGGGAAGGAGAAGGGCAATTTCCTTTTAAGTGAAAGAGCAGGTGCAGGGCCAGCAGCCAGGGAAGGCAGGCAGCCTCTAAAAGCTGGAAAAGGCAAGGAAACACATTTTCTCTTGGAGTTTCTAGGAGGAATACAGCCCTGCTAATAGCAGGATTTTAGCATGTAAGACTTACTTTAGATTTCTGACCTCCAGAACTGTAAGAGAGTAAATCTGTGTTGCTTTAAGCCACTATGTTTGTGGCTGATTTGTTACAGCAGCAATTGGAAACTAATACAGCTGCTAGTTGGCTTTATATTCTAACCTAATTATGACATGGCTAAAAGACTTACATTTTTAAAAAATATTCACTTCCACAAATGCCTGAGGCACTATATGTACCAGGCACCAGATATGTAAACACAAGCAGACAAGGTTCCAGCCTAAGAAGCCCATTGTCTAATGATACAGACATTAGTGAGATTTGAGCTGTATCTTTGCACTTAATAAGGACATCACCAGGGTAAGAAGGGCAGTGAATGGTTCAAAGACATTCAAACGAGCATGAGCAAAGGCACAGAGGCAAGAAAGCCCCCAGACTGTTTGGAAGAACCCACGGTCCTGTGCATTCACCTTTGGTACTGCAGTGGGGGCCGTGGTATGGTTGTAGGAAGGTTGTATCTGTGTCTACCAGGAGTCTGGCCTTTCCTCTGAGCCATCTGAGCCTTGTAATATGGCATGTGACTCATCTGACGTGTTTTTAGAAGTTCCTTCTGGTGGAACAAGGTAGGCTGAGGAAGCAGCTCCTTGGGTGCTGCTGCTATGGTCCAGGTGAGAGGATGGACGAGGTGCAGGCTAAGCTGGCATCTGAGACAGGTACAAGAGGCAGATGGGAAGGAGGTGTTAGAAGGCCACTGCAGGACTGATGGTATGGTCAATGAGGGGGAGAATCTGGAATAAGCAGGGTCCCTGCTGGAACAACTGAGCACCCTCACACTGCGGGAGCAGAGGAGAGGGACTTGGTGGAGGAAGCTGAGGAACTCCAGGGTAGACAGTAAGTATGAGGTGCTTGAGAGGCTCCGGGCGGCCAGGCCTAGGAAGCAGGTGGACACTTAGTCCTGGAGCTCACAACTGGGGAGCAGTCGGGGTGGGAACGGGGAGCAGATGAGTGTGTGGAGAATGAGAACAGACAAAACAAGGCCTAGACCTGGAGGAAGAGAGGCACTTGAAGGCCTATGTCTGTTTGGGGTGGAGGTGAAAGCCCAGGCCAGGCTGGTTGCACAGACATCGGAGAGAGGGTTCCAAGACACATCTGCAGGGCAGCAGGGGCTCAGCAGAGGAGACAGGCTCTTCAGGCTTAGTGACAGGGAGGTCTGTGGTGGCCTGGGCCTCCTGGGCCTTCTCCCTAGAGACATTAGCTTGCTTCCCAGCTTTAGGAGACTGAGAAGAGTAAGAGTTAAAAGAACACAGTATGTCTGCTACTTTTTTTTACTTTAATTTCTCACCCTGGACCTTTCCAAATATGCACAAAGGTAGAGACGACAGTCAATGAACTCCCATGTCCCATCACCCAACTTCAACAGTGACCAGGATGTAGCCCAGATCAGCCTGTCAGAGAGACTTTTTCCAATCAGTGTTATGGTCCTAAAAGACCTTATGCTCATATGTAAGAACAATTTAACATTTTTATGAGCTTCTTGTATTCTGAAGAGGACAAGAATTGCTTTAC